AGTTAATAGGATATCAAAGTGTGTTACTATAATATATCCTGTTTTTTTTATTTATTTTCCCTTAATTAAAAAGATAAAAATAAATAATAAAAAAGGAGATTGAGATAAAAGAGGACATAACAACACAACAGCACAGATCAGAACATAGCAATTTAAGCAACATAGTGTTTCACCACAAGATATCCTGACATAACAGTAATTACCATAATGTCTCTTTCCTTGAAATATTTGAGTATAACTTCGTATACTGTAGCATCAAACATATCTCCTGTAATTCTTATGTGCTTTCCTTTGTAGGTGATTTGTGTTCTCTAGCCACTTTTAATGTTTTTTTTTTGTTGAGTTTCTTGAATCTTAATTATTATATAACTTGGTTTAAATTTATTTTGGTTGTGCCTATTTTGAGTTCTATACAATATATGCTTCATTTATTTGAATGTCAAGGTCTTTATGTTTGGGAAGTTTTCTGCCATTATTATGTTTAAGAGGTTTTTAAATAGCTTTTGTCCTGTCTGCAGTTTTCTCACAGACTCCAGAAAACTGAGCCCCTCTATCTTTTTATCTGTGTATGTTTTAATAGCTTTCATTTTGATCTTCGTTTCTTTTTGAACCTTAGAAATTATTTTTATATGGATTCTTCCATTTGTTTTTCCACTTCTACTATCATTTCGGAGAGTTCCAGTGGTTGGCTTCCAATTTCCTCTATCTTTTTGTGCTGTGGACTTGTTCAATGTGAACTGGGTATTTAGGGTTGCATTTTATTTTTTTGTCTTTCCATTTTCTATTTTCTATTTTTATTTTGCTTTGTTTTCTGTATTGATTTATTATGTTAGATCCCTTTATTCTTGGTGCTGTGGCTTTCCACTGCTGGCTCATATCATTATTGTTGATTCTGATTATTTCACACTGCTAGTCCTGCCTGTCCATAGTGTGCACCTTGGCTGTAATGTTTTACTGGCATTGCCATTTGTTTCTAGAAACTGTTTCATTTCTTCCTTGATTTTTCTGTGAGCCCTTGATTATCCAAAATTATATAATTTAATCTTCATGTATTTGTAAAACTTCTTTTGGTTCTTTGGCAAATAATTTCTGGTTTCATTGCACTATGCTATGTTAATATACATTATTCTACATAATAATAATAATATAATTTTGAATCTTTGTATTTATTTAAGCTAGCTTTTTGTGTTAGTGTGATGTATAATTTGAAGAAAATTTTATGTCCTGACATGAACATATTTTCTGTTTGTTGGGTTACATAAGGTGTAGCTTTTGATTAAATTTATTTATCTGAAGATGTGCTTTAACTCTGATATTTCCTTGTTCTTTTTTGTCTAGTTGATATATTTGTGATATTTTCCATCATTTAGTTTTTCATCTGTGAATTCCTTTTTTAATTAAATGTGTCACTTATATGCAGCATACTGCTGAGTTTTCATTTTTTTAGCCCTTCTGCCTGTCTGTGTTTTTCTAGAGTCAATACTGAAAATTACTGATTTATTCCTGTCATTGCATTTTTTTCTGTTGGTTATTCCTTTATTTTTCCCTTTTGCTTAACTGGTCACTCTGCTTTCTTTATACATTGTATCAGTCTTATGACATTGTAGGCTTCATTATCTCTGTTTAGGATATCCCTGAGAATTTTTTGGAGTGCTGTTTTGGTGGTCATAAATTGTTTGAGATGTTTTTCTCATGGAAAGTCCTCATTTCTCTATCAATTTTTAAAGATAGTTTTGCAGAATATAGTAGTGTAGGTGTAATGTTGTTTTCTTCCATGGATTTTAACACTTCATTGGACACTGTCCTAGCCTCTAAGTTTTCTGTTGAGAAGTCTGCTGTAAGTGTGTTGGGTTTACCTAAGTGACCTGCTGCTCTTTTTTCCAGTGCTTTTAAGATTCTATCTTGACAATGAATTTCTGGTATTTTGACTAATAGGTGATGTGCAGAAGTTCTCTAGTCATGGCTAACTGGGGATTTTGTATGTCTTACTTACCTATATGTTGAATCTTTTCTTCATATATGGAAAGTTGTCTGCTATAATTTCTGTATACAATACTTTTTATAACATTCATGTTGTGTTCTGACTTCCTCTGACACTGGTTAACTTTTGATTAATCTTCTTTTCATAACCTAGCAATTATTAAATTATATTCCCTGTTCTGTTGTTTATAAGTTTTCTCTTCGTATATGGTCACATATAGCAGCACTATCTTTTAGTTTTGACACTCTTTCCTCACATTGTCCATTTTTTCCTCACACTTTCTGTAGAATTTATCATTGTCTGAATTTTGGTTTGGTGTTTTTTCATGGACTCTAATTCTTTCTTAAATTTATCATTCATGGTTTGAATCTTGGTGTTAGCATTGCTATTTTTTATATATATTTTTAAGTTCACTGACAATTTTGTTTATTAAAGTGATAGAGCTGTATAGTTACATCTTCTTTGCACTCACTGACGTTTGTTATTTTATCATTGTATAATTCAGCTCTTTGGCTTTGTACTTTGTCCCCATTGATGCCACTTGAATATGATTTGGGGAATTGTAGAGATTTTAGAGGCATTTTGTTGCCTTGAATTTCATATGTTTTTGTTTTGGAGTTTTTATTTGTTTGTAGTTTTTACTTGCTTTGCTTTGTTTGTTGAAGATTGAGATTCAATTAGAGTTAGAAAAACGTTGTTGCCATTATAGAAATCTCTTTAGTTTGTGCCTGCTTTCCAGTGCTTTAGTTTGTGTGTGCTTTCCAGTGATGTGATTGTACCTTTGTTTATATTTATTGTTTATTATACCTCTTCAATTGATTTAGTTTAATTGGGTTGGACCCCATTTTGCAAAGAATTCTCACCATTTTCAGCAATGTCACCAGATCCAAGCATGTATCAGTCATGTCCATTAAAACTTGTTTCAGCAATTTCAACCTTTTATCAATGCTTCTTACAGACTGTACTGTACTGTCAACAGTACAGCTGAGATATAAAGGGAAAGGGGCAGAAAAGAGAATAAAGAAAGTGGTAAGTCAAAAAAAAAGAGAGAAGAAAAATATCAATAGGTAAAATAGAGAGCAGGTTCTGTAACTGTTAGTTTTGAGTAAAGAACTAGTTTTGAGGAGAATTGAGAGATTATTTTTGGAACTAAAGAAGAGATGCAGAGGAAGGAATTGAATTGGAGACTGAAAGAAGCTTTAAGAATGTCAAAACCTCTTAATATGTTGATAATTAGCTTATATTTGGATCTTCTATGCGCAATTTTAGTGAGGATTACCCTAACATGCTTGTGAAAGATGCTATTTAAATCACTGGTTAATTCTTAGTTTTACAGATAGCTCTTGTATATATGTCAGGTGAAAATAAGAAAAGAGGGGAGAAAGATAAAGGAGTAAGAAATAGAGAAGTAAAAAGAATAGAGAAAGAAATAGAAAAAAGAAGTAAGAGAAGGGAAAAATAAAAAAATAGAAACAATATCCTTATGCAGTTGCAAAAGCACAAAATGTCCTTATAATCTCATTTTCTATTGCAATCTGATTTCATTTGCAAGTCTCCAAACTTTTCCTGACCTGTATTTTGCTAAATGTCCTGCCTGTGAGCAACAAAGCTTGTTGATCTAGATGTCCATATTTCCCTGTTGCAAGCAGTGTGGATAAATGTAGGCCATTGTTTCTGTACCAAAAATTGATTGCCTCAGTTAATTTGAGGAGGACAAGGAGCAGTGTAATTGGCCTAGCACCCAGTTGTCTAACAATTTACACTAGAGCCCTCTTGCTCCCCAGTCCTTACCCGGTAGAACAAATCCTAATTTTGCCTCTGTCATTTTCCTCCACAAGCCTTCTGCCCAGTGAGTTCTGAAGACACCCTCTGACTTGGCCACTACTCTCTGTTTCTGCACATGCTCTTTTCCAATCACTCTATACAAAGTATCACTGTTTAAACAAAGAATTTGGTGAAGTCCTATACTCCCTGCTTTCAGCAATCCCAAGCAGAGAGTGTTGTTTTTTCCTTGTGGCTGCCTACCTGCAGGTTTAGACAACACACAAGATGCCCCATAAATACAGTTCTTCCAGTGTATGGGAAAGGAATGGGCAAATAAGTATATCTGGATCAATCTGTCCTTCTCTTTTCCCTGGATCTCACAGCTCCCAGACCCTTTTTGCTCATATAACCCCCAGGCCCAGGTTGTAGTTTTTCTTAGCACTGAGATTCATGTCTCTAAGTAGATTAGTGAGATTGTTTTCAAATCCCCAAGGTACTCTTATATAGCGCTTTCCAGCTTTCAGTTACTCTGAGGCTGTGGCTTGTAAATATCTCCTTTACTGTATTACTCTTCCCATTGAAGAGCATTGAGGGATTGGGAGCCTTATTGCATTAGCCGTACTGCCACCTGACAGCTCCCTCTCCAAGGAAACCTAGTCATCTCCCAGGATTGCATGTACAGTGGAACTGAGGTGTAAGGATTACTGTAGTCCAGCCTCTTTTTCTAAACCTTTCTCATACCAGATTTTGGTCTAGTAAGTTTCTCTCTCTGTTTAGCTTCCCCCAAACTGGCTTTCTGTATCACCCCTGCCACAGTGTACTGCCTTTCTTGTGGTGCACTTATCAGTCTTTTCCCTTCACTGACTACCTAACCAGTCTTGTTCAATATTCATGACAATTAACCTCCGTAATGTACTATGATTATCTTGTGAATAGATTTTATTACCACCGAACACCTTCATTATAGTATTTACTTGAAGAAAGGTTAAGAAAAGCCATTATTTTACATTAACAACAATTACAGCTCTAACTAATTCTTGTAAGATCTGTTTTAATTTATCAATGGCTAGTTTAATCATTGCGGTTTTTCTGTTACTAGATTTAAACATGTTTTTTGTATATTTATAATTTATTTCCTACTATTAGCTTGGTTTATTTTGAGAGTTAATATGTTTTCAACTTTTTCATGTGTTTTCAATGTAACATTGGTTTTAAAATGCTAACATTTGCTTTAAATATTTTGCTTGTTCCATAGTTGATCTACTGACTCCACAATGTCTGAAATCAGATTCGGCAGTCTCTCCTGGGACCAAATTATAACACTGGATAACATATTAAACGAAGTAGTTCCAATTCATGGAAGGGGAAATTTCCCCACACTGGAAGTAAAACCAAAAGATATCATTTATGTTGTGAAAAATCAACTCATAGGGCAAGGGATTATTGTTAAAGATACCCGATTGAATGGTTCCACAGCAAGTTATGTACTTGCAAACCATAATGGAATCAGCTATAAGGATCTGGACATTATTTTTGGAGTTGTAACTCCAAGTGACCAAGAATTTCAAGTTGTCAAGGATACAGTTCTAAGATGTCTACTTGACTTTTTACCTAAAGGTGTGAAAAAGGAAAAGATTACCCTAAAGACCATGAAAGAGGCTTATGTGCAGAAGATGATCAAAATTTGCAATGAGCGTGATCGTTGGAGTCTCATCTCTCTTTCAAATAACACTGGGAAGAATGTAGAGCTAAAATTTGTGAATTCACTCAGGCGACAGTTTGAATTTAGTGTGGACTCCTTTCAAATTATTTTGGAGCCCATGTTAGACATTTACTATGACAAAAATGCTAAGTTAACCAAAGAATCTCATCCTGTTGTGGTAGCTGAAAGCATGTATGGTGATTTCCAAGAAGCAATGATTCATTTAAAGTACAAGCTTATATGTACCAGGAAACCTGAAGAAATTAGAGGTGGTGGTCTTCTGAAGTACAGCAACTTGCTGGTTCGTGATTTTAAACCAGCTTCTGAATCAGAAATCAAGATCCTAGAACGTTATATGTGTTCTAGGTTCTTCATTGATTTTCCTGATTTAGCCAAACAGCAAAAAAAAATTGAATCCTACCTACTCAACCATTTCATAGGAGAAGAAAAGAGCAAGTATAACTACCTTATGACTCTGCATACTATTGTGAATCAAAGCACCGTTTGCCTCATGGGTCATGAAAGAAGACAGACCCTCAACATGATCACGCTTATGGCTTTAAAAGTACTTGGAGAACAGAATATTCTTCCCAATACCGAAAATGTAACATGCTTTTATCAACCTGCTCCATACTTATTTGCTGAAAGAGGGTACCCTATTTATTATGTAACACCTGGGCTACCACCTGTTTTCTTTCAGCCATGTCATGCATCTCCCTTTCATATGCCAAATGGCATGTTTTAAGAAACACATATAAAAAAGAAACATACAACAGAAATACTGCTTTAATTAAACACCTTTTAAAAGCAAGTTTCCAAATTCTGTAAAATTTATGGTCTATTTTTAGTTTTTGTGGCATTAAGAAATATTTTCCATCAATTAAAACTTAAACAAACCATCAAAGTAAATATGCTATCATCAGTGAGCTGACAACTTTAAATGATTTTCAAGTATTACTGACAAGTTCTAATAATTTTCAAATGTTTAAAAACACTTGAATTGACTCAGTTCCCGCTTACTACTAGAGACTTTCAAATTTGGAAATTTTGGAAAATGTGAATGCCTGTATCTTTGACTAAAATAAAAATGAACATCTTAAAAACCAGAAATATAATGAAGGCACGTGTCAAAATTGTATTTAATCAATCCCTTTGTTCAGTTCTTTTCTTTTAGGTGGATTATATTGTTGCCAAATTTTTAGAGCTTAACACAAATACATAATTTGAAGAAAATAGATTCAGAAGATATAAAATCCTGGACTTTATAAGCATTTATTTCTTCTTAATTAAATTAGATTCAGAAATCTGAAGGAATGATGGGAAAATATTTTCAGAAAACATTGAACATTAGTGATTTATTATCTACCTAATTTGACCTTTAGCTATAATGTAGATCTGGAAAAAGTATCATCCAGCTGTACAACTAATACTGTGACCAGTTTCTCTCTCTCTCTCTCTCTCTCTCTCTCTCTCTCTCTCTCTCTCTCTCTCTGTCCTAAATGACTTGAAAACAGTGAAATGGCAAACTCTGAATGTAAAAGTTTTCTGTCATCAACTGTTTAAAAGAGTCTCTAAAAGGCAAAAAAGGGGGAAAGGCGGAAAGGCAAGGATCTTGAGCCATAACATTTACTATTTTATGAAATATTGACTAACATCTAAATATATCTGGAAGCGTCCGGTTTTAGTGACTAAATTTATGTTCATTATCACATATGAAACACACATTTCATTTTGTGATTCCCAGGCATCATTTTGTAACATGCCACTCACGTGCTTCATCAGTGGTGGAACTTCACATGGTACTATATTTTATTCATCAATTGCATGTATTTATTTTATATCTGAATAACTACTTAACTAAATCAAAAATGCCACTAGCAAATCTACCAGGGGGCTAAAACTGTATTTCCTTTCTATAATGAAAATAATACATGACCAATATTGTCTGGTATAATAGGAAGCTATCCTGAATAACATTTATAAAATCATCACAAAACTTCAATATTTCTATTGCCTTATGATTTTTTTCTTAGTTTCCATGTCAGTCTTCATTGAGCATCATGTTTTCTATTAAAAGCTGACCCAACATTATATTTTAAGAATGTACCACTTTGACAATCTATTTAACCTGTCTTCTCTCTGTTACAATATTGAACACAGGAAGCACACTTCGTATGACTTTTCAGATAAGTAATACTTTTGACGTTTTATACCACAGCACTACTGTCTATCAGTATATTTTTAATAACTATATTTATATCACATAATCCTGAGGCTTCTCTGGGACAAATGAAAAATTTATAAGTACTACATATAAATGAAAATTCAGCAATTTTTATCTATATATTTTATTGGCTAAACATTCATCATTATTTTGTCCCTAAGTAATATTACTTTTCAGTTAGTGTAAGTAAATGTAAATAAATTAAAGGTATTTATAAGTAATACAAAGTAATTCCAATGATGTAGAAAAAGTGTGAAGACTATTTTAGAAGTGTCAATAGTAAAGGTTCAGTATCTTCCATGTTAACATTTTGCACTAAATAACGAATTCTGAAGCTCTTTGAAAACATCTTATCTACCATAAGCTCCACTGCCTGTTTAAAAATCTTACTGAGAATTCAAGCTCCTTCTTCCTTAAAAAGCAATTTCTCAGTGATATTCCCCTAAAATTTTAAGTCATAATGGAAGAATACCTGAAAAGCTACATGCTTTCTCCCAATGCTTAAAATATGTATTTCTCTAATAAAACAGCTCAGAATTGGTGTCTGTAATATTTTTCTATAGAAAAAGAATCCAGACATATTGAATAGGAATGATATCATAGAAGAGAAAGCTATGGAATTACTTCTCATGCATTCCTTTTTATAGATACCATCACTAAGCTAGGCTTTTCTTTTCTCCCAAATAAACAGAAATATTTGTTTGAGCATCTCTTCAGGACTAAGCTAACTTCCTTGAGAAGCAGTACAATTTCACTTGGTTCCTCAGAATAATGGGGGAGCTTAATTTTTAAGTAAATGAGTTCTGTACCCGTCACATAAAGGAATTGATAAAAGAATGTATCCTATTACCAGAGGTAAACCATGTGATCTTTGACTATTTAACTGATGGCTATTTCATTGTATATACATCTGCAAGAGTGAGTTTTGATTTATGATGACTGTTTCATTCAGAAACCTACCCAAACCTGAAAAAGAGAAAAAATTTTGATGTAATGATATAAATTTTGTTTAAGCCAAAATATACTTAAATTTTTCAAATATTCACACATCATCAAATTTATCCTTGTAGATTTGTTGTAACTTCAGCAAGAGATATTCTTCTAATAATGATGGATATCTAGTTTAATCAAAGAAAAATGAAATAAAATGATTAACTTGTTTGAAAAGATAAACCAACTACATTCAAGACAAAATACAAGAGCTAGGGCAACTATGTACTTAATCCCAAATTAGAAAGTATCCTGTGCCTAATTTCCATTTTGATATATTACCAATGTTCTATTCAAATGCATACAAATTAAATGTTTTTAAATTTATCTTTAAAACAATATTTTAGTTTTGAACATTGATAAGTATAGTATACCAAATGTCTCAGGTATGTTTAAAAGTCCTTTCAGTCAGTGGATCTGTTATCTGGAAATAGTCATTCAACTTTAAAAATATGAGAAAGTAAAATGTATAATTGAGAAAATTTTTCAATTTTAAAATATGTTATTCAAAGTTATATTCCTTTAAGAACACAGCAGTTCCATTAATAGAATATTTGAAAATAGTTGAATAGTTTTTAAATGAACATATCAACAGGATTGTGAGATACATGGGACCATAATTTTGTGAACATTCTCATGAAGAACATTTTGTCAAAGTGTAAAACTTTTAAGCTGTTCTGGGTTTTGCTTGCTTTCGTACTGTGTAATTATATTTTGTTTGCAGTTGTACTTTCCTTTTTATAGTTATTTTCTATATGTTATAGTGGTATAATTTATGTAATTAGTGGAAATTGTATTGCTGATCAACCCCTCTTTTGTCAACATTTCTTCAGCATTTATAACTAGAAGTAGCTTATTAAAATGTTAGCATATTTCTCTTAACTACTTTCTTTAGGAAACTTATTGAATTTCATGAGTTTGAGCAAATACCTACCATTTGGGTTATATGCTACTTGTAGACAAATTTAACATGTAACTTGTAGTTTTTGGATTTAACACATTACAATTTTTGTTTTTCTTTATTATGAGAGAATGTGAGATTATTCACAAAATGTTTGTGTAATGTACTACAACAAGAATAAAAACAACAAAAACCTTCTTGTTTATATATATATATATATATATATATATATATATATATCCCTTAAAGAGAAATTGATAATTTATAGATGATTTTTGTGCATGTGATTTTAATGATCCTTCAAAAATTCAAGTTTATTACATAAAAATACTGCAATTTAGATATACCTTTAAATGCTTCCAGACAAAAAAAATTAACCACTAAAAATCTGTAAGTTGACTTACAGATTCTCTAACAGAGATCTGTTACAGATTCTTACAGATTCTCTAATGTTTTGAAATGTTTTGAAATGAGCTTTCTGAAAAATTTTATCTTACAGTTATAAATTAAAAATAATGGATTGAATCAGCCAATCCATGTAATTTAATGGTGATTTATGGCAATTTACTTCATATAATTCTGGACTAGCAGTAGAATTTGAAGTATTCCATAATATGCCAGTAAATACCCCAATTTATGTCCTAAATAGATATCTAGTTGAAGTTGGTCCTGTGGCTCATTTAGAGGGTCTGGAAGGCTAACATTGGATTGTTATTTTAGTGTTTATATACCCCTGGAGGTAACAGAGGGAGAGTTTGGTCTTCATAAAAATTGTAATACAATGTGGTTGCTCACACTAATAATTTACTCTGCATTTTTTTTGTTTTGTTTTGTTTTGTTTTTTGCTATAGGAAGACAACATGAATGGAAGACTTCTATATAAAATGTATCAACATAAAAAGGAAAACCATAAAAATATTGCTATAATTCTTACCTAGTAAATCATTATTTGTAAGGAAATTCCTTTTTGTAGTAGTCACATCCAAAAGTTTTACTTAAAAGAAAAATTAACATCACATAGCCATTGCTTTCACATGGTTTTAAAATTTTATAAATTTTCCTCTCAGTAAAATTATAGTGGACACAAAACATACAAGCAAATGTTTGCGCAAAGAAAATTGCAAAAATATTTTCTTTAAGCCATGTGACCAAAGAATTTCTGCATAAATTATCTTCTTTGTCTTTTGAGGAATTTTGTAATAACTTTGAGAACATTGAGGATTAAATGTCTTTAAAAATCCACTTCTAATAAGTGTTGTCAAATAGCTATTACAATTACATATTTACCATTAAGTTAAACTACTTTCAGGTGCTATCAGCAGAAAAAAATATATAAATTAGTATTTCACATTAAAATTGTCTTATCTTGGGCCAGGAATGTAGTTCAGTGGCACAGCGCCTGCCTGGCACACACAAAGTCCTGAGTTCAATTCCCAGTATCAAAATTAATTAAATTTAAAAATTTGACCTATTTTAAAATTAACTAAATTCATCTTTAAAGTGAAAGGCATTATTTTCTAGGTAAATAACTTCTGTAGCAAAATAGAAACTATGCCAGGTAGGTTATCTGATTTTAAAATGTCGAACACTATATTTAATGCACTATAAACATATTTATATAAAATTAAATGCCTGTTTGCTCAATAAAGGGGAGGAATTGCAGAAAGGATATAAAAGAAAACTCCAGGTAATGTATCGGGTCCTGTCCTAGATCCCCAATCTCCCAAATGAGTATATGGCGGAGGTTAAATAAAAAAAGAGGCAAATTGTATGATTTTTAGGGCTCCGGGAGGTGACCCCTTTAATTAAGCTTGAGGCTTCGAGGGAAAAGACAAAGGATTCTCTGGATCACTCCACTTATATTAAGATCAAGGACAAAGAGCAGAGAGACTAAGAAAAATGCAGGCAATGAGCAGGACCTTGGGAGTTACCCCAAGGATGTCTCCAAGTCATGCAGGACCAGTGATAGAGGTTCACTTACTATGAATCAACTCCTGTCACCAGGCAAGGGCCCTAGGCCTAGGACAGACTCACAGATAAACATAGAAGGCCATTTAGTAAAATTTAGATCCTGCTCAGTGCAACTTCGTAGTGGTCTCCAAGAGTAATGCTAACATTTTCCAAAAAGAGAGCAAGTGATCTACTTTCTTGTCAAGCTGTTTCCTTTTACCTTTTCAAAAATATTTGTTTTAGCTTATACATAAAACATAAAATTTTACATATTAATGGAGTACTGTTATATTTTAATACATATATATTACATAATGTTTCAACCAAACTAGATATTTATTTCCTCAAATAAGTTCCCTCAAACGTTTATCATTTTTACATTGGGGAAACTTTTAAAATCTTTTCTAGCTTTTTGAACTGTATGATATGTATTATTACCTATAGTTACCCTCTGGAAGATAAGATTTTTAATTTCACCTCTTTCTCTTCTTTTTCCTGATTTAATAAAATGACAGTTTTTGTGTTCACAGTGATAAAGTACAAAGATACAAAATCAAATAGCAATTTATTACTGATTATACTACCACAAAATAAAACTGTATTATTTCCAGTTTAGTTCTTACTGGAGACAGAGTCCAGAAATTTGGACTATTGGACTATTGGAGATTATTGGACTTAGTGGAGACAGAGTCCAAAAATTTGGACTATTGAGGGTAGGAGGATTTATTCATACATGATTCCATTTAGAAAAATTAGCTTCCATGTGTGCACAGTAAAGAATACAATATTAGGAGCACTGACTTTTCAAGATGTCTTGGTATCATGTATTTCTTAAGTAGGAAACACTCAGCAACACTTTATATATTAGAGTTTATGATTCTAAAAATAAAACTTCACTTTTAAATTCTAAAGAATCTTGGGATTCTAGGCAGTTAATGTGAAGAAATCATTTAATTGAGTTACAGGATCATTCAGAATTCTGATCAATGTAAATTATAAATTGAATAAATGTTCCTTTTATTAAGAAGAAGAAGTATTTTAAGCATTGTTATGTGCTCTTATGTAATTATTGGGAGTTTTTTTAAAAGTTATTTAAATTACATTTCAGATTAGTGTTGCATGGGTGTAATACCAGTACTGTACTTGGGAATCTGAGGCATGAGCACTACAGTGAATTCAAAGCCAACCTAGATGACATAGTTGGCTTTTCACAAACTTGAACTGCATGGTGAGACCCTCTCAAGCGAAACAAAACAAAAGACTTGACTCTATAAAATTATAAGTCAAAGCATTTACATTTTCTTTTAAAAAGCCACAGCAGGGCTGAGGATATAACTCAGTAGCACAGTGCTTGCCTGGCAAGTGCAAGTTCCTGAGCTCAATTCCCAAAACAAAAAACCAGAAAAATCACATAACAATTCAGATTTAATGCATGAAACACAAGCTTACACAGTTAAAAATTTCTATAAAATTAACCTTACATTAACATATAAAGCTATTAATAATTCACTTATAAATTACAATGAAATGTCACAATTATTGAATAATTAAATATTAGTATATTTTATGTATTTCATCCAACACGCTTAAGTATTTTCCAATAAGCACTGGAAATAACCTGTTACATTATCTGAGTTATCTAAATCTTAATTTGTTGTAATTGTTTTATACTTTCATTGTTTTCAATTATTTTAATTCTTTGACATAATTTTTCATTTTACAAATGAGTAATCTGTACCATAAAATGACATGGCAAGTTCTAGCTTAAGTTCTAAATCAATATATTATAAACAAAATCCATACATCTATGAAAATTACATATACTTTATATTCATATGTTGCCACTAGATTTAATTGAAAATATTCTTTTGGCAGTTTGTGGATAAATGCTTAATTTCATAGTGTCTACACTGAAAGAAATCATTGTTCACTACTTCTCGTGTAAAAAGTATCAGCAACTAAAATGTCTTTCTTGAAAGCTTTTCTGTATACTGCGTAAATATCTCAACCTACAAAGGAAAAAAGGCAATTATACAGAGGATTCAGGTCCAAAATCTTTCACTAATAGAGAATGAAACATGAACCTTGCTTATTTATGGTCCACATCATTGACTACTTGTGTTTTCCTGTATACATCAAAATAACTACTGGACATTTCAAAAATCCTACTAGATATAAAACAATTCATCTGATGAAGATTAAATTGTAAATTGGAAGGCCTGACTTAGAAGCCAATCAAATGAGTTATGCCCACAAATATTTCTCTAAAAGATGTGTTTCTACTTTTAATTAATTCAAATCCAGAATATTTTTTAGCATTAAGGAAAATAGGTGAATGAA